TCGTTGGTTAATTTATATCCGTCTCCTCTCTCAGTCTCATGATGAACGAAGAACTCTCGTGGTTCCTAAGATTCTAAAATTTTCGCAATATATTATCAACCTCTCAATCTATTTAGTCTTTTAAGCTATATATTTATCAATTATAGCAATAGACTATCTTCTTTCGGTCCAAAGTCAATCACAAATTTTCAAGGCCTATACTATTTAAATAAATATAAATAAAAAAATTCATAAACAAAAGATAAAACGTAATAAATAAATAAAACCATTCATATAATCCGAGTATTCACAAAAACCTAAAATCCCCAAGCCTTTGGCTACTACACGAGTTCTAAAAGCTCAAAATAAATAAATACATGAGTTCGATGAAAAAAAAATGAGAAAAGAGATAAGAAATATTGTAGTCGTGTAGTTTTCGATCTTCAATCTTGACACATTCAAATTCGCCTTGTGTGTTGTATTTCAATCCGGTCTACAAAAGTGTCCAATGTCCTCAAAATCGAGTTCCTTAGGCCCTTTTCATAATCTTTTCCATTGAAAAAAGGAAAGAAATCGCATGAAATCGCATGAAATCCTTATTCATCGCCAAACAAGTCTCTTTATCACACGACACGTGTGACTTAAGAGTCACAACCACACGAGTTGTGTGCCTTATTCCCTTAAATAAATCACCAGCCTTCAATAAATCGAGTTGTGTGATCCAACTGAAGTTTTAATTTCGATCATTTTTTTATTTATTTTTTTTTCAATATTGGTCGATTGCACAAACCCTATATCCAACCCAGTGATAACAAGAGCAGGTTCGTATACCAGCAGTCAAAATGTGGTATGATCCATCGGGTAAGTCATAGCCGACCTGCTATGGGGGGAATAACATCAGTAATGAATTGTTGTAATTTTTAATACACAACTAGTAGATATCTTGTGCACATGCACAGATGTACATAAAATATTCTAAGTAATATTTGATAATTTAATATTAAAATTCTAGATAAAGAACATGTTACATTTTCAAAAATTTGATCATTAGGAAAAATAAATTAACAATTTTATTATTATGAACAATTGTTTATTATCATTATATAATAATAGTTTTATTATTATTAGTATTATTATTATTATTGTTATTATTATTATTATTATTACTAAGAAACAATTGTTTATAAAATTCCAAATTTGTTTGACTATGCTATTAAAACAATTTACTAATTATTTGTAAATAAATTTTTCATGAGATACAAAAGAAAAAGATAATATTGATGTTAATATAAATAACTTGAAACAATTGTTTATAATTAGGTAATTTATATTTATTGTTAATTATTATTAGTTGGTATTAGCAATAACTATTATATAATATAATAAAAAAATATATGATTACATTTAATAGGATGTATTAATGTGAGAAGTAACAAAATATTAATGATAAATTTTGTAAGTGAAAATGGAGGGAAAAATTTTAGAGGTTTTATTAAATAGGTTTTATTAAATGCTATATGCTAGCAATTATATATACTAGTTATCATCCTGTGCACATGCACAGATGTACATAAAATATTATAAGTATTATGTGTGAATTTAATATTAAAATTATAGATGATAAACATATCACATTTTCAAAATATGTGAATTTAATATTAAAATTCTAGATAATAAACATACCACATTTTCAAGATATGTGAATTTAATATTAAAATTCTAGATAATAGACATACCACATTTTCAAGATTTAATCAATAGTAGAAATAAAATAATATTTATACAAATTATTTGAGTACATATGAATCACTATATTGATTAAAAAAATTGTGGGTAATGTAATTTTTATAATTTGGAGAGATCATTGTCAAATAATTTACTTGAAAACTTTATTATTATTATTATTATTATTATTATTATTATTATTATTATTATTATTATTATTATTATTATTATTATTATTATTATTATTATTACTACTATTCTTATTACAACGACAATTGTTTATAAGATTTTAAAGTTTTTTTACTCTACTATTAAAACTACTTACTAATTGTTTCTAAAGAAAATTGTTTCATGAAATACAAAATTAAAATAATAATAATATCATTAATAAAACCTAATTAAGTGTAATCATGTATTTATAAAACCTAATTAATAAAATCTCATTTATTTTCCCTCCAAAAGAAGTTACAAAATTTGTCATTCATATTTTATCTTTCTCATTATTACACCCTATTAAGTGTAATCATGTATTTTTTTGCTATTATATTATATAATAGTTAGTGTTATTACCAACTCATAATATTTCACACTAAATATAAATTACATAAGTATAAACAATTTTATTGTTTCAAATTATTATTATTATTATTATTATTATTATTATTATTATTATTATTATTATTATT